GACTTGCTGCCTGAAACTCTCTCACTGGAAGTGCTGGGGGGACTGAACCTAAATCTTTTGCCCACAAAGCATTTGCTATGATGCAGAGGGGATGCAAGACACCAAGGGATGCAAGACAACAATGCTAGGTATATGCATGGAGCAAAGGCAGGACATCAGTGTAATAGGCAGTGCAATCTATGCCAGATCTCAGAAGCTAAGCAGGCTTGGCCCTGGCTACTATTTGGATGGGGGACCTCCAAGGAATACCAGGAGTGTGACATGGAGGCCGGCAATGGCAAACCACCTCTGAATGGCTCTTGCCTTGAAAACCCTGTGGGATCACCATAAGTCAGCTGTGACTTGACAGCAAACAAAACATGACATCTAAGTGCCGCACTTCTTAAATAGTGCCCTTAGGGCTACGGCCCTCTTCTTTATTGTCTGGATGGATTATGACTTGCTGAGATGGAATTTCATATACAGTGAGAATTTGGCACTGTTTCAGAAATTTTTGATTCTTAGACCACCAAAACCTTTCAAAATAGGACTCTTGAGGGGTACAACTTTTAATTGGCAAATTTTGGTGCAGTAATGTTAAGGAATAAGCTACATTCAATACTTGCCAACCTGGATTTCTGTCTTGAAGCTTAACAGTTTAACTGTAGGGAGTGGAAGGTATTTTGGGGGGAGTGGGAGATATTTTGCTTTATGAGAATATTACCATTTTGACCAGCAGATTTTAGTTAGAAAAGTCTGAGATGTTTCATCTATCTGTTTGCCTGTCTGAACACCTGACATCCATTCTACTGTGGAGACTTGGGTGATTTTATTGCTAACTAAATCACTTTGATGTTTTTATGCACTTATTTATACATTTGATTTCTTGACTGCCCACCCCGATACTTGGGGCTCAGGGCGGAGTACAATATTCAAAGAGATATCGTCATCGTCATCATCATCATCATCATCATCATCACCATCATCATCGGAGGAGGAGGAGATTGGATTTATACCCTGCCTTTCACTACCCGAAGGAGTCTCAGCGTGATTTACAATCCCTTTCCTTTCCCCTCACCACAACAGACACCCTGTGAGGTAGGTGGGGCTGAGAGAGCTCTCTTGAGAACTGCCTTTGAGAGAACAGCTCTGAGAGAACTGTGACTGACCCAAGGTCACACAAGCAGCTGCATGTGGAGAAGCAGGGAATCAAACCCAGTTCTCCCATATTACAGTCCACATTCCTAACCACTACACCAAATTGGCTCTCACAAGCACATTTAAAACAAGTTAAAACCAAGAACCATTTCTTCCAGGTGGCATCTCAAAACCAAATTTATCCTTACCTCAAGGGGGAGAGAAAGAAAGGAAGGCCAGGCTAAATGAAGACCATTTCTGATTTGTTAGTTCTGTTGCTGATTTCATGCATTTGACTATTTATTGGTTTTTAACAGTAAGTACATATACATATATCATAAATTTTCTATATTTTGAGTCCTTTATACATTATTTTCTATCCATTGTTTAACTCTTATCCATCTTTGAACAACAACTTTCTCTTTAGTCCCACATACTTGTGTCTGTAACCAATCCATTTCTATAACTTCTAGCAATTTTAATGCTATTTCCTCTTGGGAGGATATTCTATCCATTTTCCAGCATTTTGCTAATAAAATCCTTGAAATTGTACAGATATGCAGCAGAATATACTGTTCTCGGCTTGTATATTGATCACCTGATATTATATTCAGTAAATACATTTCCGGAGTTAAATCTACCTTTACATTCATAATTTCCCCAATTATGTTTTGAACCATTTTCCAATACTTTTGAACTTCTTGGCATCTCCACCACATATGGTAGAAGGTACCTAAATTAGACTTACATTTCCAACATGTATTAGATATATTCTTTTGACATTTTGAAATTCTATCTGGCGACCAATACTATCTATGATGCATTTTATATACATTTTCTTTATATGATACTGCTCTTAAAATTTTCAATTTTTTTCAAACATTGTGCCATCCTTCCAAATTTATTGTATATCCTAAATCCTGCATCCAAGACACCATTGACGTTTTCACCGTCTCCTCCTGCATAGCTTCCTCAAGTAACCAGTTATATAATTTCTGGATCAGTTTGTCACTCAATGATAACCAGCTCTTATCTAATTTGTTTCTACTTTCCTCAAACCCAACATTTACATCTTTATCATATCTTAATCTTAATTGGTTAATTTCCCACCAAGAAAGCCTAATATTGTGCTGATCTGCTAGAACTTCCCCATCTTTTAACTTCTTCTTTTTATCTAATAAAATTTCATATTTTTCTCTATGTGCCTTTGTTATAAGTGAAGGCCTCACAAATGCCTCTAATGGGGATACCCATAAATGTGTTTTCTTATAATACCGTTCTTTCATATTATTCCAAATTTTAAGCAGTGGCCCTCTTAGGGCGTGTCGTTGAAAATTGGAATGGATTCTATCCTTTCCATACTAGATGCAGGCATGCCATCCCATACACAGATCGAATCCTTCTAATGCCAAACATCTAGTGTTCTCCAATACTAACCATTGCCTTATCCAGTTTAAAGCTGCCGCTTGATAGTACAACCTCAAATTTGATACTCCAAATCCGCCCCTTTCCTTCTTTTCTTGCAATATTTTCCATTTTATCCTTGACCTTTTTGGTGCCCAAATAAAATGTCTAATTACTTTATCAAATTCTTCAAAATATTGTACTTTTTAAATTATAGGTATATTTTGTGCTAGAAATAAAAATCATGGTAGTATGTTCATTTTCGCTATCCTTCCCTTCATTGAAATATGTAATATGTCCATTTAGACAAATATTTTCTAATTCCTTATAACAGCTGGCAGCTGTTGACTGGGGTTTCCTGATGCTGCACTGTACTGCTTTGGAATGACCACTGCTCTCCTGTGATGAAAAGCAGAGCCAGTCTGGGGATGTAGTAGTTAGGGTCATGGGACTGCATCTCAGACAGAATCTCTGCTGACGCTAAGAATTTTTGTCAGCAAAGCAGGGTTTCTCCAACTGCTCCCAACTACAGCAGCTCAAAGCGACCCTTCGAGAGACCCACCCCTCCCCCTCAAACATCATGAGAGGAGAATTGGAAGAATGGCGCTGGAGTTGTAATTGGCAAAAACGTCCCCACCAGTGGAAATTTTCTTCTTGATCTGACCCTTGGACTAGAATCTGGGAAACCTGGGTACCATTCTCATTCTGCCACAAACCTTACTGGGTGACTTTGTGCCACCCACTTTGTCTTAGCCTAACCTACATAAAACCAAGGCGGGCAGAACCACATATACTACCCTGAGCTACTTGGAGGAAGAGCAGGACAAAAATGTACTTGATACCTTCTGGAATCCACTCTCTACTGCGTATGACCTCCACGAGATGCAGGATGCTGGCTGGGAAAGCTGAGGCCTAAAATTACATTGTATTTCCCACCTTTGATGGAATTCATCTGACCTTTGCTGACTCATTTATTAATCTAGGGATTATCCTGGATCCAGCATTGCCGCTGTAGAGGCTGCACAAATGCTTTTCTCCAACTTAATCAAGCCTGGAAGATGGGCCTCTGCCTTGACCCAGCTAATCAGGCCCCCTGGATCTATGCCACAGTCTGTACTTGTGCAAGTTTCTTTGTCAGGTTGATGGAATTCCATTGGTCTTAATGGTGCCACTGGACTGTAAATTTGTTCTACTGCTTCAGACCAACACAGCTGACTACCTGGATCTATCTTGTATCATATTCATTTGTACAAGAAAAAGCTTGTCAATTCTAGAGGAACAAACACTCCTTCCTTGGGCTGGGACAGCCCACCTAGGTGAGCTCTTTGTGATCTGCCCAAGATCCATAAGAAGACTGCTTCCACTTTTACAAAATTACTTGTGTTTCTGCAGGAATTAGCATGGAATCCACATGTAGGCATTACGCAGGACAATCACATACATATTATACTCTCCTAGACATGGTTTGGAAGCTTCAACTGGTTACATCTGAAAGCCAAATATACAGCATCCTGGTTTAGATTGATCTTTGGTCTGTTCCCACAGACATACATTTATTTTCCAACAACTCTTTTCTTCACATTTCTACAATAGCTAACTAGATGCCTTTAGGAAGCCCACAACATCACAACACAGGCTTCCCCCTGTTTGTTGCCTAGAAGTAATAAGTACTCAGAAGTATACTTCCTCTGGATATGGAGGTTTGATTTAGCCACCATAACTTATAGCCACTCTACGAGTTTCTCTAATCATCTTTGAAAGCTATCAATCATGGGCTCATCTTCTAGCAATGAATTCCAAACATTAACTTATTTTTCTGTTCCAAATCTGTCATTTTCCTTACATGCCCCCAATAACCAGTAACTTCTCACATCTGGAAATCTCTAAATATATACAGCCTCTGAACATGGAGGTTCTAGTTCTCCATCATGGCTAATACTCTTTAATGGATGTCTTCTCCATGAATTTGTCCCCCCTTGAAAGCCATCTAAACTAGAGACAATCATCACATCTTATGGCAGCGAATTCCATAGCCCTCATTCTCCATTGCGTGTGTTCCTTTTGTCTGCCTTGAACCTTCCGTCTGCCCATTGCTTCAGTTGGGTGAGCCTTGCATTACAGGAAGAAAAGGTCTCTCTTGCCACTTTCTCCACTTCATGGTATACAGAGAATAACATCATCAATTTGCAGGATGCTTTAGAAAAGAACACAACCAAAAGACATGCCTCAAGGTGCTTGCCTTGTAAACTTCCCCACTCCTGTCTTTGTAGGCACTTGGCAACATGGAAGGAACTGAACCGGGATCTCAGCCTCAACAGTCTATGCTACAAAGCACACCAGCTCTGTGGAATTCAGCCTGGAACACGCCTTGGCTTTCACAAGCCAGAAAAAGCAAAGCTCAAGCCCCTGCATTCAACAATACTTTCTACAGGAAGGAGCAGTAACTACAGACTCAGGGAGAAAAGGAGGAAGTCACTTACCATCCTTTGAAATACTAAGACCACGATGGTTCCTAATGCCACAAGAAGACAGATGGCAAGAGAAACAATGACAAAAGAGACGTAGGTTTGGGCGGGAGTTCTGAACTCCCTGGTGATGTTTTCATCAGTCATGTCTCTGGGTACTTCCTGAGGACCATCCATCGGCAAGAAAGGCATTTGCTGTGTCTTGGAGCTCATCTCTTTATAAAGTCCTCAGTGTTTCACCCCATCTCTTCCTTCGCTCCCCTTTGATCTTACATCTCTGTTCCTGATAGGATCCCCCCGCATCCTGGCTCATGTGACCTGGAAAAAATAGCTTCATCGCTTGTTGTATGAATAATGAGATCAAGAAGGAGTTCTGGAGGCGTCAGGGAAGCAGGCTGACTACAGCCTTGGAGAAGAGAAGATGCTCTTACACTCCAGTAGGTTGATACCACCATGAATGAGGTTGAGGGAGCCCACTGACAGAGCTCAGTGTTGTCTGGCAACAGACAGCCAAAAGCCAGCTACTTTCTCTCTACTCAGCTAGTCTCTGGGAACAACACTCACAGCATAAACCACCCCGGCTGGCAACTTCCTGTTTCACAAAGTCAAATCTGCTTTCCTTTATTTATGAGCAGAGGCAGTGATGCAACACCACCAAAAGAGTTCCCCTTTGCGTTTCTGGAACTCTAGATCCCCAGACCATGCTGATTAACATTTTCCCCCATCTTTTAGTGGATTCCTTCCCCCTCCCAGCAATCAGTAGCGATGCTAAACAATACTCTGTTAGAATGGTAATCGGGTCACAAATTGCAAGCAACCCCCCCTTAGACAATAAATACCATTGCCCACTGTAAACTGAGCATTCAAATCTGTTCTGGGTTGTATTTCTCTGCGCCTGTGTTTTCATGCACCTTGTCCCTTAAGAAGAACTATTAATGGCTTGAGTGGGAGAAAGCACAAATCCACAACAAAGTTTCATGGATTTCCTGAGCCCTGTCTGCCCAACTCATTCATTGGGGGGGGGGGGGGGACTCTCAAAACAAGTGATTTGGTCCTTCTCTGAGGGTTTCTTGACTGGCCCATTTTGCCTGCCTGAGTCCCAGAGCTACTGGTGTAGCAAAAAAAACAACCCTGTATGCTTTGGATACCAAGTCTTTGGGGCTGACCTGGCTTACACATTCTCTTGGTTTCAGTCCAAGTCCTGCCTAAGGGAGGGTAGAGGAAATCTGAATGGGCCTTGGACTTTCAGTGGAAGAGGCTAAAGAAAATTTAGGGACTTTTGAGACCAAATATATTAAGTTGGTGTGATTCCCTGCCCTGGCATCACCATGGACCAGTTGGGGTTTAAACTATCCTTGGGCTCTCCTCATGCACAATGATAAACATGCACAGATGGAAATGTGGCCTACACATGTAAGAAATGTACAAGATGAATTCTAGTTGTTTTCACTGCAGGTCACCTGTGTGTGGGGGGGCAGGGAGTGTGGGAGCCCAAGGCTCAATTCCAATATGAATCACATGACAAAACAATGGAAAAGTTCTTAGTCATCAGGAACAAGAACACACTGGGTTGGATCCAAAACATGGAGTTGGGTCAAAAGTTGATAAACAAACAAAACAAAAAACCCAAAGAAGGACATCTTTGGATCTACTCTCATGGTCAACCCAAGGTCAGCCCATAATAAGCCAGCCCATAATATGGAACTCCAAGATCCAAGCAGAAATTTAGATGAATAGAACTTGGAAACATCCTTTCTGCAAACCAACATGACGGCTCCCAGTTCCCTTCAGCCTCTATTGCTCTCTAGAGTCAATAACGGGACCAAAATGGCTTTCATACTGCCATCATCTGTATCCTGGCCTGTAACATCAGCAAGGACCAACCATGTGGCATTGATATTACCCAGTTATGAGTCTTCATGACCACTATTGTCTATGGAGACTCATAATTTGACAATGCCATACATGTGCTCTCAGTGATAAACCATAGCAGATATTCGATACTTCATCAGAACATGAGAAGGAATACAATACTGGC